TCTATCGGGCGGGGGGGGGGGGGGAAGAGAGAGAGATTGAGAGAGAGAGAGACACACAGAGACAGAGACAGACATGCGAATGAGTGAGCGAAGGGGAAAAAGTGTTTCATATACATAGCATGAAGAGAAGCCAAAAGTGTGGGCTTCTATTACACCAAGAGGGATTTTACCTACATCCCTGCACTGCTTACGAGGCTTTAAAAGAAATTCCAAAATGTCATCAGAAGAGGAAAAATGAAAGTAATGATTCTTGCCACACAGGTAGAACATATGAGAAAGTGTGTAATAAACCAATACTTTAACATGACGCCCCCATCATTTTTTTCCAGAATTAAGAGCATATATATACCAACAAACTAAAGCACAATTTACCAGCTCTAACCATAAATCACAACTTGGATACTGACGCACAGTAAATTAGAACACTGTTATAATGTGCAAGGTATTGGTTACTTGCTATATTCTACTACTGCTTGCAATCGCAGCAAATGGTAATACGTTATGCTCACTACACAAAAAGCATCTAGAACATGCAATTGCTGATGTAATTGAACTAGAAAAAATGAATATAGTAAGTGGATTTTTTCCCTTTTAAAATTGTATTGTAATTTTTTATTTTACTTTTTGCATAAAAATTAACTCTTCTTTTTCTCATAGAGTATTGAAAATGGCGGCTTTTACACACCAGAGGATTTCTCAAATGTGAGTATAAACTTCATGGAATCTTTTAAAGGGCCTTTATAAGTGTTGCTACTTTTAATGAGTGTTATTAATTCATATCAACAACATTTTATCTCTTCTTAAAAGGAAGAGATATGAAAAAAGACTTGACCAATATCTGGAGTGCAACTTCACTGTATGAGCCCCAGTCTTTGGGATTCTAATTATGTTTTTGCTTTATGCTGTCTGACAGCAGAAAAAGCTGAAATAACAATGCTATCTTACCACTTTCTTACCACTTTGTGTAACAGTGTAACACAGCAATATTAGTTTGCTCTATTTAATGCACTGCAATTGAATTCATTTGGACAAGAATATAATTTGTTACTTAGTGGGCACAGGTTAATATGCAGCAGGTGATATTAACTCTTACATCAGCAGCACAAACAGCAAGATTAGTCTTTAGTGTGAGGCGATATTTAAAATAAAAAGCCTGTTTCATTGAAGAATACAGGCAGAAATTGGCACAAAGTATAGTCTAATTTTATCCCAACTGTAAGTGCAGAGTAGATGGTAGGAACTCCTGTTAAAAACCTCATATAACACAGCACAAAACTGCATTGTAATTCCAGCTCTCCATAGACACACTTATCAAATCACTCAACCTCTTTAGTATTAGCTTTTACTTTATGTAAATAGAGATAATACTTACTTACCTAGATAATTTATCCGAGAAAATTAATGAGCATTCAAACATGTATAACAATTAATTGATTTATACTTATGCAAATCCTGAATTGCAAAATTACCATAGAAAGTAATAGGATGGCTTGAGTAACACACAATGACTTTTTCAACAGAGTAATTTTACTCATGTACTTACTGGATCAAATGTTAAGAATTTCTGGTTTGGATTTTTAAAAGTAAATTTATTGGGGATGATCATGTGCTATGGTCAAACGGGTTTGACAAAACTTGTGATGGTCCTATGTAAAGATGATTACCCCAGAATCCAGGGGGCAGGTCAGTCGCAGGCATGAAATAGATTAGCCAAACTATTCTAATTTACATCAACTAGAAAGAGGCCCTTGTAGCAGTTGGGAATCTACTTTATGTACAGGGGCTAAGGCTACATACCCTTTTCAAGATGATCTCTCTATGCCACAAGCTATGACCAAGTCTTGGTTTAAGAACTACAAGAGCAGCTCTGTGCCACCTGAGGATCTTCCTATGCTCAAGGAATCCTGCAATGGTTGGCCAGTCTTACAAGCAGAGCAGCACAAGCTTATAAGGAAATACTGGAGTTGCGCCCATTTTTAATGTCTTAAATCGTTCACCCATACTCTTGAAAGTCAGATTATAGTATAATACATGTCTCATATTAGCAACTGAATTTTTAAATCAAGGCATATTCACTATTCAGAATACATTTTCTTCTGTAAATAAATAAATGCCAATCATACTTAGCAATAATGTATTGCTTTATGCAATAAATAATGTAATCATACTTATTTTAGGAGAAGCGCAGAAAGGAGGCGTTGGACGTTTATATGACTGAAATGAACGTTTTAAAAGAAGAAATCGAAGACAATCCTGATGCCAATAATACCATTGCTCTTATCAAGAGAAATCTTCAGTGTATGGTAAGGATTCATTTTTATTAAATTTGATACAAAAATTTAGAAGTTGATAGACTATCAACTAGAAACAGAACAATGTATCTGCTGGCAGTGGACCTACTGCTGCATTTTTTGCTCATTTTACACTCCCATACTCAGCCTCAAAATCTTGTCCCATTTAATATATCTAGAGTCTATATTATTCCCATTGCTACAGGATCTGAGCACCTACTGACATTTTCTGTCACTGGAAAATGGTTCTGTTGTACTTAAAAGAAGAAAATTAAATTGCCCATTCAGTATTCTCACATTACTACTGTTGCAGATGGGCCACATCCATTCTGATTTAATTAGGATGGAAAGAGTCCCATCTCTGTATCCTATTCTTTCTTTCTTCCTTCCTTCTCTTCAGCATCTGAGGAATTGAGGTGTAGCTCACAAAAGCTTATGCTCTAATAAATGTGTTTGAAGTGCCACTGTACTCCAAGTTAATCAGACAAGAGTCCCTTTTTTAATTTGGGTTGTATGCTTTTAAAAAAATAAAAATTTTGAAGCAGAGTTTTAAGGGCTAATACACGGGAGAAATCCCCATCAATTGCAATGGGTATTTTTTCTCTCTTTTTTTCTGTCCTTCAGGTAGAATAAAGAAGAGATCTTGGTAATGGGAACTTCAGATTTTCAAATGTGTATTAGATTTTCTTGAGAATTTCTGGCAGTGTAATAGTCTAAAATATCTAATGTTTTACATATGTAGCAATGTATATGTATATAATCCACTAGGACCAAGGTATCATCTGTGCTCCTTTGTTATATAATGTTTACAATCAAAATTTTCTGTAATAGAGATTCATAATTTATTTTATTAAGCTGCCTATCATTAAATTCAACGTGCCTAGCTAGTCTTCCTAATCTTAAAAAAAAAAAAAACACCAACAGAAAAAATGGCTAAGAGAGGGCCACCTGATATTTCAGAAATATCATTCTGGCTCTGGTTAGAAAGTGAAATCTACCTCAGCTGCATTATTAACCAACTATAATTATTATTACCGAAAGTGAATAAATTGAGGTAGTAATATATTTTACTGCCACAGAGGATCCCAGTGTCTGTGGCTCATTTTATTATATGAATACCTCTCCTTAGCAAAAAGGAAAAACTTCAAACAAACATTCTAGGTCTCATTTTGGAAGAAAACTCAGTATGTACAGGTTCATTCATTACCACTGTTACTAGTCAATGACTGAAATATCACAAAACAATAATTAACCAGGCACATATTTTCATTGCAGAAAATACAGGAAAGAAAGGTCTGTGAAGGCTGCCAACAGAAAAACACTCAAGAATTTCTAGAAGGACTGCGGCAACTTCTGCAAGCTATGTACAGCGAATAGCCACTAACTACTTCAGTCAAAAAAGTGGATAACATTTGTCATTGTAACTTCTACCTTATTTATTTAAATATTTAATTATTATAATTTATATTTTTACCCTGTGGGTTATTAACTTGTTGTCCAACTGGCACTGTCATATCCTTTGAGTACAGGTGTTAAGCAAACATTTCTGCTGTAAAAAGACATCTGATTCTATCTGTAAGCCCTACGGGCTCTAAACTATTGTGTGTGTTTGTGATTAAGCCTATTAGTTCTCATGAAATTACTATACTTCAAATCAACTATTTATTGAAATACGATCTTAAAAATAGTTCATGATTTATTAATGTATATGGTAGAAAATAAAGATGTGTACAATTTTCAGAGGTGTAATTATGTTTACTGATTTGTTTCTTCATGAGGCTCATCTAAGTTTACAAAGCTTATTTAACTGGTGGCAGGCACAGTGAGTGAATCACATGGAGAAATCTAGTTAAAAAGAGCATCTACCTGTACACAAGAGTTCCTGTGACAGATTAAACATGAGTCACGTGGAGATAAGTTGTGACTTTACCTCTGTGTTTTTTAAAGGCTCTATAGAAATTCTATTCAACAAAATACAATATCAACTAATGTTTGCATAAAAATCAATATGTAGCTTATATAGAAGGCAAGTATTGAAACAAGTACAGAAAACTAGCAAGTCTCTTTCTAAAACTCTTTTGCTGAGGCTCCCAGTTACATCTTTTTATATAAAAAGCTTTGCAGTAATCAATGCTTAAACTCAAAAGAGAAGGCCTGTTTTTGAGACACTGGAAGGTCTTTGGAAAGCTGTCCAAATATCAATAATGGACATAAATAAACCTCCAAATATGAAACCAGGGCCCTAAACATTTTCATAGTCATTTTAATCCAACAAAAAAGGGAGTTGCCAAATAATATATTCTAGACAAACATTATTCTTACATTTTTTTACATAAAGCCTTTTTGTGCAAGCTCTGAAATGCACTTTTTCTGAATGAAAATAGAGTCAGACATGTGACCTTTAAAAAAAAATATATGCAGAAGGAAACAAGTAAGCTGAGTACCTTTTTACAATTAAAAACCCACCACTCAGTGTAGACAACAACTCAATTTGTAATTAAGGAAATCAAGCTACACTTGTACAGTTATCAGTTCATCATTGTTTCTTTGAAGTGTTTTACTAAGTGGGTGGGAAATGGAGTATTCACAGTCATATTTCAGAACACGCTGTAAGTAACTGGAAAAAAGCAGCAGTTTTCTCTACTGTGGCAAGTATCAGAAAACAATCTATAATGGCAGCTGTCTGTCAAAACTGGTAAAATTACTTACAGTACTGGTGTTTCTGTTTGCTCTAGTCATCTTCTCTTCCTTTACTGTCTGAGGTAGAGTGTTCTGTCTCCACCCACTAGGATTCAAGAGGCAGAAGACTGTCAATCATCAAAACCATGTACAAACCACCTCCACTTTCTTCTCACTGATCTGATGCTGCCCTAACAACTAACAGCAATAAGATGAAAACTGAATTCAGAAGGGAAGGGGAAAGCACAAAGGGGATAAGATAATTATATCAAACAGAATTATTACAAAGTAGTTTTCTTTGTCATATCTCACTTTTGTTCTTTGTGGAATAATATTTCTATTTATAGTCCTTTTCCCCTGCCAAAATGTTCAGAAGAGCGCACTGCAAATAAAATAAAACAGACCCCACTTAAAATATACACACAAAATAAACATGAAAAGAAAAGGAGTTGTAAGGGTGTGTGTTAAATATAAAGTTTTAAATGTGGCGGGACATTTTCAGAAGATGGTGAAGCTAAATAAGAAATTATTCCTTCTGGCAGGTAGCCAGATTCCAAGCTACCAATTTTTATATTTAGTACAGTGAATTTTAACTGGCTGGGGCAGCATCAGGAACTGGAGGAAAGTTGTAGTGTCCATATGCTAGATTTTAGTTTATATTTTAGTTGCTATTCTAGTTTCAGCCATATTTTTCTTTCTAACAGTGTACCCGATTCCAGTTGTCTTCAAGGGATCTCCTGGCTGTTCCTCTCCTGAGGCCTGGAAGGACCAAAGGATTGAGGTTGCCAGCAACACTACAATTGTCCCCTGCGTCTAGACTATGTTACATATTCTTTCGTGTGCGTCTTTTAACCTTTCTTGCTTGTTTGTTATCTATGTTAATATAATTGTGGTTTAAATTTTACTTAAAAGTTGTCAGTATTTATTTATGCGCCACAAACCAATGATCACTTAAAGGGACCGGTGATAGATACAGAATTTGGTGTCCGCATTTTGTAATCCTCTTAAATTTAGTTGGCTAATTGGCATCTCAAATCATTTATTATAGTTACCTCGAGTAACACAATAACCAACACAATAATCAACTGAAAAATTGTCTATTTTTATTTATAAGGGGGAGGGGGAGGGAGAGGGAGAGGGAGAGGGGTCTCCCACCGACCCCTACCTTCCCCTGGCCCCCCGTCCCAGCAGTAGAGAAGAAAGTTACATTAACTGCGTGTCGGCTGTGGATCCAGCCGCAGTTAATCAATTACTCTAACAACTTGAAGCAGCTGCCGGAGCACTTCCGGGTTGCAGTTGGTGCCGGACCATCAGGCGTACCGGACCACTGGATGCCGGACCACCGGAGTTTTACTGTAAAATGATTGCAAAACACCCAGAGACATTAGTAGGTGGTGCAATGTTTGTTTAAGTCTGTTCATTAGTAACATATTGCATGTCTATGAAGAGGTGCTGAACTAGGGATGAGGGATGTGCATTTCCATTATATATACAGGATTTACAATTAGTCCAGTGGCTATCCAACCCCCATTGTAAAAATTCTTTCAGCAACCTGTCTAGAAAAGCTTGGAGCAACATGCCACTATAAAACAAAGATCAAAGTTCACGCAACTTACTAAAAAAACCACAAGGCCAATTAAAGATCTACAGTAAAGTATGTTTTCAATTTTATTTTTTTTGTAAATCTCAAGTCTCACCTACAGACAATGTTTCTGTTTCCACACAGCAACAGAACATTTACTTATTGTATTTGAGAATACCAGGTATTGGTGCTAAAGAGTCAATATTCTTCATAGTAGTGAGATTGCTGAAATGTTTTTCAAGCCACTGTAGTTTAAAATGTCTTCTAATACCCAAAGAAATAACTTAGCCCTTTTAACCTGCAAGGTTCTCAGTTCACTGATGTTATACATTGCAAATTTCAAAGCAAAAACCACATGGCTAGCAGTACAATATTTTTAGTCCATATTTATTTTATATTCTTAATAATCCACCACTGAAGAGAAAAATGCACATGCTGGAATTTGAGTGTGTGCATTCTAGCCTGTTAACACATATGCTATAGCAGTCAAGTGTTATTCATAAGAAGAGATTTCAGGACAAGAAGCGCAAAGGTGTTAATTCTCCTCCTCATGTGCATACACTACTTTCCATTAATGCCAGTAAGAATCACGCAGGCTCACTAAGAAGAGAAATAATTCTCCCAACCTAGTTTAGGCCTCGATTCTACAATTTAATTTGTTTGGTGATAAAGTTCAATATAAACAAACAAAAAATATTATTCCTGTGCTATAAAGGTTTCACAGAGATACATGTTTAATACTACCACCACCACATTTACTACTACTTGATTACCTTAATATCTAAGCCAAAAAAGAGCAATTGTAGCAAATTTTTAACAATGTTATTTTTAGCTAGGAAGGTTCCAGGGGGGCTTGCCCTTTAAGAGCTAGGAGTCTCCTGAGCAGGACTCTACTTGTATGCAGGTTGCCCACTACCTGCCTACAGGCAAGAAAGGATTGGAGGAAAGACCTGATAACAGGGTAATTGGGTAGACTGTTTTTGGGATAGGTTTTAAGTTTATTTTATTTGGAAAAAAAATTCCAGACTTCTAGAACATTGTGAATGGACAAAATGGTTGTATGGCATTTATGTGAGGAACCAATGGGGAAACTGACGGGCCACATGAGACCACTTGATGAAAAGTCATATTCAGTTAATATTTGTACATAAACACACTGTTTCAGCTTTATACTTTGAATCAAATAAGAATTCTATAACTAAAAAGAACAAATCAGTACTGACACCGATAAAAAATCTATTTTGGGAAGTTTTAAATAAATTAAATAGAAGATTTATCCTTGGGATGTAGAACAGCTATCGCAAAACTGATAAGAAAGACCCCAAATAGATGTTTTGAAGAGCGCCTTCAGGGGAAAAAAAAAATAAATCACAAGAAACAAAGATTCAATTTTTTTTTTTTTTTATAACTGAACAGTTTGAGATTGCCTTAGAAACAGATTTCTGCTCAGTCACCTTACAAATGCTGACCAAATCTATGTAACTTGCAGAATGATCCATCATACTTTTGGACTCTAAACTAAACAAAACCATCGGTCCCACTATATCTTTAAGTAATGCCTAATTATACTTAAGACATTTAATCTAGCTGGAATTTTGAAATAAAAACAGATACAAAGCCTCAGTAGAGGAGAAATTACACAACAAAACTGCTTTAACAATTCATTGATTTTAAATTCTTGTGCACTACGATTTGTGTATGATATAGAAAAGATTCAGAAACCAATCTTTTCATTGTTTGTCCAGCCAGTTAATTGTTCACATTGCATACCAGATTATATGCTTTGGAGTTACACATCTATTAGTCTTAAATTAACAGTAAACATAACTTTTTAATTAGCAGAGGCAGAGAAAATAAGCCTCATTGATTATTTTAAAAAATATTTTTCTTTGTAGAGATGCTAACATTTAATATGGTTACATAAGCATTTTGAATCCACTATATTTTTTAAAAACACCTCTCAGTCATAACAAAAACTTCTGTACTAACCTCTCAGGTACTCAAAGGTTTATAGCTCCACTGGCATTTTCCACATGATATTCTTTCATGGCACTAGAACACTCACTCAAGAGATTGATCCATAAACTGCAGCTGTATGGAGAAATTGAGGCAGATGATTCTGCTGTACCAAAATGCTTGCAGCAAAACATCTATTTTTACATGTTCAGTACGACCAAGTGGTCAGCACATTTCCTGTAGCTTTTCACAACACATCCTGTGGTCTGTATCTTCTCCTATATGGTAAATGTGAAGCTGCATAGGAATATGTAAAAAAACATACTGTTATTGTTGCTCAAACAAAACAAAGATATATGTGCATTTTCCTGTCCTCTCCACTCCACAAAAATCCTCAGGAATAGTTACCCTCCTACTTCATGAGAAAATACACCTGAAACTGCTTCTGATGTTAAGTAGCCCCTTGCACTGAAACATACAAGGCTGATCACCTTGTCTGACCCCAATAACTGGTATTTTCAAATCAGACGGGAAGACAAGACTTAAAAACTGTGGCAGCAGTGCTTTCCCTCTCTTTTCAGTCTATGAATGAGTGGTAGTTCAATGAATGACCATTCAGATGAGTTGTGATGTAATTCCATCCACATCATCATCAAATGAGGTCTAAGTATGGCTGCATGTTCATCAGAGAGGTCACAGATTCCATGACTTTCTGGGACTTTCATGGCTCGTGACTTCTGTAGCAGCAAGTATAGCTGGCCTGGGAATCGCCTGAGCAGCTTGCTGTGGTTCTGGGCCAGCTGCACCAGCTGCTGCTGGAGCTGTCTTGGGCCACCACCAGTATCACCTGCTGTCCAGCAACAGTAACAGTAGTCCTGGACTGTGCACTGCTGTCTGCCTGCCTCAATCACCTGCCCCCCTCAGAGCACCTTTCTACCCGTGCACCTAAGATTTAGTCATACTGCAAATCATGGACAGGTTACAGACTGAGTACTTCCCATGACCTATCCATGACTTACTAAAAATATCCGTATTCTCAGGTCTTCGTGACAGAGTATACCTCTGGGCATCACTCAAGAACAAAATAAGGAAGAATATACCTTAATCACACTGAAAATGATGTTAGTTTGTAACTGCCATTCTTTGACATATATATATATCCCTACCTCCAACTTGTGTGTGTACCTCGTAAGCCTTAGATTGGAGATTTTCAGCTAACAGGGTTCATTTGATCCACACATGCACCCTAAGCTGCCTTATGCTAGACACCAAGGCTATATAGAGTGCACAAGCCCTCCTGTTTCTTCTCTACCTAAGTGTCCCTTAAACAGTTCAAAGCAACAGTTTCTTTATTTTCTTCTCTTCCTCCTTCAAGTTGTGTCCCCATGCATGCGCCACCTCGGGTGACTTCTGAGCAGTCTTCTCAGGAGGAGGAGGGAGCTTTGAAATAGCGTCAAGAACTGAAGACAATATTGAAGAGCCAAAGGTTGCATTGAATCTGATGACATAAATAAGGGTCATGAATGATGAAAAATCGAAGACGATGCCTAATGATCAGTCCCAGCTCAAGCTGGCTCCTGGAGCTACCCCACTGTGGCTCTGCAGAGCAGTCCTTGTCGACTAATCGTGTAGTCAATAAAAAGTGTATCAGCTACACGATTAGTCAGATAACCACAATTTAACATGAACAGTTATGAGAAGGTGAGTAACCTTCAATCCAAATCAAATGACTCTACTGGTGGTGGGGCCAGAATTAAAGAATCACCAATTGCAGGACCACTTTGCCAAAGGATGCATCATCATCTCTGGCATGCTAGTTGACAGCACGGTGAGTGGTAAGCATGTGCACTGAAGACTAGGTTGTCACTTTGTGGATAGGCACCTGACGAGGCTTGTGCTCTTGCTGAATAGGCCATAAGCACTATGGCTGGCACTTTGGCCAGTACATAGCAGATATGGATGTAGTCTGTGATCCATGACAAGGTACACTGTGATGAGATTGGAAGAGAAAAACTCTTCCTTCCATCTGCCACCACTATAAACAGTCGATTTAACTTCCTAAAAGGTTTGCAGTTGATGTAGAATTTTAACAGCCTCCAGACAGCTAGAGAGTGTAGCCTCTAGTCATGTACACGAACATGAGATTTGGGATAAAAAACCAGCAGGTAGAATTGAGACTCTACTTTGGATAGGAAAACTGGGTGTTGTCTGCGTTGTAGCTTTTCCAACGGAAGACTGTGTAGGAGTGGGGAGTGGAGAGGGTCAGATGTTAGCACCTTCAACTTGGACACCCTCACGGTTGATGTGAAGGCCACCAGAAATGCCCCTTCCATAAAATATATTGAAGGGAGCATGTGGCAAGCAGCTTGAAAGAGAGTCCCATAGTCTAGAAAGGACCAGACTGAGATCTCAAGCAGGTATAAGGTGGTTGTGAATACGGGTGTAATCTTTCCAAACCTTTCAGGAAGGGCACTACCATGGTGCAGATGAATACCGAGTGTCCTAGGCCTCCCAGATGGAACGCCAAGATTACCACTAACTGTACCCCGGTGAACAATCCTTCCAGCCCTTGGTACTTAAGATGTAGTAAGTATTCCAGGATGAGCAGTATTGGTGCTTGAAGCAGAGGTAAGTGATGTTGCTTGCACCAGCACAAGAACCTTTTCCACTTAGCCAGGTAAGTGGCCCTGGAGGAAGGTTTTCTGCTACCAGGCAGCACCTCCCTCACTGGTTCTGAACCATGAAGCTTCCAAACCATGAGATGGATGGACTGGAGGTCTTGCTGCAGGAGGAGACTGAGCTCCTGTTTGATCAGGTCAGGGTGCAGACACAGTGCAATGAGGGTGTTCATTGACAGCTCCATCAGTGTGGTGTACCAATGCCAACAGAATTACCCTTGCTTTGTGTCTGCAGATCTTGAGCAGCATTTTGTGGACAAGTAGCATTAAAGGAAAAGGATACATGAATCAATCCACCCAGGGAAGCATGAAAGTATCTGATATGGAGCCTGAGCTTGGCTTCTGGAAGGAGCAGAAATTGTATATTTCCTGTTGCTCCTGGTGGTAAACCCCCCCATCCTTGGAAGATGAAATATATACTGTCCAACTCAATGGCCATCTCATGGTTGCGGAAGGACCTGCTGAGATGGTTTGCAAGTTTATTTTGTATGCTTGTGAGATAGCACATTCCATCCACTTGGAAGCATCCTATACAAAAGGCCTATGGAGGAAGAGCATAACCCTGGTAGACATGAAAAATCAACTCACTCAGAGCTACTGGATTTCTGACTTACGACAACGATTGGTAACATCTCTTGAGTCACAGGACAAAAAGGGGTGAAAGGGCCACTCTACCTAGAACCGTCTCTTAGACTATGTAGTGACTATTTATGTTAAACAATCTGTTCCAAGTTGCATTTAGCTATGATGCTCAGAGTACCTTTCAGGTGCTTCAGATACTCTCTCTTGAAAAGAGAGGCAGTCTTAGAAGCCTGGAAAGCCACATATATCCCACCAGACAAGTAAGGTTTCCCAAGCAAATAGAAGGAGAGAAACAAAGTCAATCCTTTCATTACTTTTTTAACTAATTGCATACTAATAACACTAACTGTAAGAAAAGACTTTACAGCAATAGCTGAGGCATGGAAGGTGGAAATGTTAGGGCTCTGCCTCAGGCCAAAGCAGTTGAGAAGAAATTGAGGGATGTTTGCTGTGTAGCCCTATACATCCTCTGTGTATCACCAGATTATATAGAGTGCACATGTGAGCCAGACACACCAATGAAAGAATCTCTAAGCGCATGGGAAGTGCATGGAAAAATTAAGTGAACCACTCACATAGACGCTACTCTGTCTCAATAGCAGCATATTAAGCTTCCCTGCACAACTGGACATATTGTAAAGTGGGAGAAAGGAAATTAATCTGCTACAATGCACTGTAAAGAATGCCCTATATCAGTGGTTCTCAAACTTTTTGGCCTGTGGCTCACTTGGCTCAATGCAAACCTTTCTGTGGACCACTAATTGCTAATGGAAACTCACTGTAATTACATAATTACACCCAATCCATTTTACTAGTGCTGCAACTAGGGAGAATGGTTTAATTTAACCAGCAAGAAAGGAAATATTAAATTATTTAACAGAGTAAGCACTTTAACTTTCCCATATTAGTTATCAAACTTCTACAATATTAATTTATGTCCATCACAAAAGGTTTTAAATGTCTTCTTTATTTATGGAAGGGTAGGGGACCTTTTTTTTTTTTGGCCACTGACCCACAGAAAAATCAGTTGGGGACCACACAAGCAAGCAACAAAAAACCCCCTTGAAACTTCTAATCCTCACCAATGTGGCCACAAGACACCTCACTCCTCTGGTACTTCAGCCCCATGGGATGGGCGGATGGGGACAGGGAGAACTGAGGTTTAGGGCTTCCTATGGGCTGGATTTAATATTCTTGGGTTCCAAGGTGAGTGGATTTTGTGCCCCCCCCCCCCCCCCCGGGGGTAAGAACAAAAATGAGGGGTTCAATGTGTGGGACAGAGCTGCCAGTGAGTAGGTTAGGGATGGTGATGCAGGATCTGAGAGGGAGGTGGGGTGCAGGAGGAGGTGAAAGTGTGATGTCTGGATGGGAGGTAGGATGCAGGAGCAGGCTGAGAGTTGAGTGTCTGGTCAAGGCAGAGGGGAAAGAGCAAAGGAAGGTGCAATGTGTAGCCAGAAGGGAGGGTGCAGGAGAAAGTGTGGATAGAGGAGTCAGGCCAGGAGGGAAGACAGTGCTGGCACTTCAACCTTATAGGAAGGGGACAAGTCTGGTGCACCAGCACAGGCTCCCTGTTGCAGGGGCAGGGAGAGGAGCCGGGGGGCTGAATTCAAGCTGTGGATCACCTGGAAGGTGACCGCGGACCTCTTACCACTGCAGTATACTGTGAGCATCCACTGCAAACATACCTTTTCTCCTTTACCTTTCCATTGTGATAGTATAAATCTGATTTTTATACCACTTGCCCCTTAAAATCCACGAATTACTTTTTTTTCCTGAAGGAGAGACTTGCTTTATGTTTTTGGGACCCCAGTCTCTCTTAAATTTGCAAGCCATACTATCACAGCTTGTGAAGGTGTTCTTTTATAATTTGGAATTCTCATGCTCCTGCTTCAGCCTTCTAATGGTAGAGTAGTAGATTGATGTGGAGGAGTTAAAGTTCCTAACATACTGGTCCAACTCAGAATCCCATGATCTGGCCAATACTAGCGTTACTATGCAGCACAGCATAGTGATACCTCACTCTCTGGAGAAGCTGCATTTTAGAAATATTGTACCTTTTAGATGTGGCTTACTGCTTTGCGGTGCTTTTCTGATACCATAACGAGCCTGCTAGAGAGAGATACAGCACCACAAGGTTAATCTCGTTGGTCTGGAGATTTCACATTGTGGCTTTATATACACTACACAACTTTTAGTGATATGGTTATGTTACTACAGCAGTGTCGCTAAAAGTCAGGCAGTGTAGACACCATTTTTGTTGTTTTTTTTTTTGTCGACAAAATACTTCTGCCAACAGCATACACTGTTCCCACTGGTACTTGGGGCAAAACTTGTGTCTTCCAAGTTTTTTTGTTTTTGTTTAAACATCTCTGTGATTTAACTGACAATGAAGACATAGCTGAAGATGAAGAGTCTACTTTGTTATAGATTTTCACGAAGTGAAGTTATAAAAATGGGGAGAAAGTTGGGCCGTCAGTACAGCTGGGACTGGGACAGGCAGGCCCCTAGCGTCACCTCCAGCCCTGTCCCCCCCCCGCCACCCCCAGAGAGGATAAGAGCATGCATGCATGCATGCATGCTTCAGCCTCCCTAGTAGGAAAAGAAGAGGCTGCATGGCCTGAGCCTCCCTGATCCCTGGAGCAGCAGGAAGGGAGGCAGTCATGTGGCTCCAGCCTCCCGAGCAGTGAGGAGAGAAGAGGCCACGCAGCCCGAGCTGGCCCAAGCCTGTTTGGCCCCTTGAGCAGTAGCAAGGGAAGTGGCAACTTGGCTCCAGCCTCCCCGGCACAGCAGAGAGGGCAGGCAGTGAGCAGCCTGAGCTACCCCAGAGCATGGGAAACATGGCTGCTGGGGGCATCAACACTCCATCCCCAGAATGCCTATAATAGGAATTCTGGGGTCGGAGCATGGGCACAGGCAGGCTGGCAGTTTGGGATGGCAAACATTCTCCTGCCTAGGCTCCCAGATGCCCACGGGAGAAACAGAACTGCCAACTTATTCTGCAGGAAGATGCAGAACTTCTGGTGACCTGAGGTCAAGGCTATAGCATGGTCCTGCAATTCCTATCACCACCACTGGAGAGTTTCTAAATTGAAAAGAATTACCCATTAGTTGCATGTGAGAAAAGCAGCTGTGTAACTAGAAAAAACAGAAATAAATCAGGGAAAAAAAGGTGATGTCATTAATTCTACCTTTCAAGAGTTGGTACCAGTTTAAATAACTGAGCAAGGCAAAAACATTTTAATTCATTGACAGTTCACGTCTCCAAACCCCCCTCTTATTTGAAACCATCTTTCCTATATCAAGAAAATAAAAAACCCACATCTAATGGAAGTCTTGGTTTTATTGAAGGTCCTACCGTTCATTTTACTCAACCACATATAAGCAGGTACTGGTATAAACACACAAAAATGAAAAGCAGGCTTTTTTCTTAGAACATCCTCTAACAAAAAGCTGAAACCCACTTAATAGTACTGCAGTCTGAGTACAATATGAAACAGGCTAAACATAAGTATAGCTTTCAGCTTATGGTGTGAAATACAAAGTCAAAGAGTAAAATTAAACGTAATTATTTTAAGTACAACATTCCATACAAAAACATAAAAAGTACGCTTAACTTTAACACCCTTTAAAAAAAAATTCTTGAAAACAAACAAGTATTACTACTGTATTTTAAAGAAAATGCACCTATTTTTGTTTAACAGTTTTGCTACTGATGCTTTATATCTATGGAATGAATTTGCTCAATAGATGTATAATGGAAGACACCCATTTTTCACCCCTCTGTCACTATGTTGCCTGTATTCTACACTGGTATAGTGACTTAAAGTCACTGACATCTGATGGCTGTTTGTAGCCTACAGAAATGAGTCCGTGGAATCAACACTAACTTCTAGTAGAGAAACCTATTTCAAGATACCGCACTACCATCTGAAATCCAGAAACTTCTACAGAGACCAATGATGGAAAGACAATAAAAATACAACTGTTTCTTAATATAGAAAATAGACAAATTAACACATAGTCATTAAACAACATTTCTTTTTTGAGAAGGGGAAAAAAAACAGATGCAGATCTGGCCTGGGAGACACTAATCAGAAAGAGAGAGAAAAACAGCTGCTTAGTGAATTACAAAATTTTGCAGCTACTTAGTGTGGCACAACATTTTTATAAAACAGCTTCAGTTGCAGTACTGCTTACAGCAAATATAGGGCTATTTAGTAGAGCTTCTCTGACATTAATCTAGATAAGTTAAAACTGTAGGGATCTCGTCTGATTGAGTAATTTGTTAATAGAATTCTAGTAGTACAGGAAACAATCCTTAAACCCATTAAATTATATCATTCCCTAAAAACAGGTACTTCACCAAAAAACTGAACACTGACTTTAAAGGAAGCTAATTCAGAAATTTTAACACACTTCGGATAAGGAAAAAGACTGAGGATGGTTGTAATCCCAGTCCTCACAGGATGCAACAAAGTTAGTAAGGCTCACTGCTGGCTTCAGAGGACTAAGAGGAAAATCCCAGGTCTATTTTCCACGTCAGGAGCAAAGCTCATTGTCAAATGTAATACAGGGAAACTTTCACCGTTACTTATGCAACACTTATTATGGTTAAAGACTTCATTGTCCAACACTATCAATTATGTATTTTTCCATTATTACGGAATTCACCAAAAAGTTAGGAAGCTAAAATGCTTAACATTGATAAACACCAAAAGTATAATTTCTGAAAAGTAAAAGTTTGTTTTAACACTACTGAAGTTTTACCACAAAGCATAAAGGAAGCTTTCATTATCTTCCTGCACTGACTTGTATAATAAAGTGTTCCTGCACTGACTTATATAATAAAGTGTACCCTAACCCTAACCCTAACTTAAGGCATTCTAATACAGACTGATTTAAATTAACCCCAACATGCGTAGTCAGTATTAAAAACTGTCACTTCTCATTAAGTTCGTAATATTGATTTCTGAGATCAAAATGTGTTTCACTCTTACAACTAAACCATGAAAGAACATTAATAGCATCCTCTGAAGATAGCCACATTTCTCGGAAATTTCACTTGAAAAAAACAGCTGAGAGAAGCAGAAAGAGTATAATCTGTTGCACTGCAAAGATGCCAGGAAAAATCTCAGGGGCTTCGGAGAACAAACACAAAACAATACAGATAAAACCCTTTAATAGCAGCTTTGTGAGTCTAAAACATACAACTGTAACAAGTAAATCGTACCCAAGACACCAGAGGTAGTCTAATATTTTTGTTTAAATTGACAAAAAAGTATTTAAGCCATTCACTTATTATCACTGTAAATGACACTGATTGGAAAGATTAAGACTACCAATATCCAAATATTTTACTCATGAAATTAGCTTTTTTATTTAAATAAATAAAAAAACCCAAATATATCAGTTTAGTAGTTACATGCTGAACTGTTCAATAAGTGGAGACTTCACAATCCACAATCCATAGCCATGCTGCTCTAAGTAGCTTTTCAGCAAATGTTTAGCTTCCTGGTATGATGCTGACTTAACCTAAAAAGGAAAAAAGTTGAAGAACTGTTACAGATGGCCACAAGATTTGCCCTTCTCAATATATTGTGCTGCTAAGATTTCTTTAGCAAAACACTACTTTCAAGACTTTAAAAGATGCTCAAGACGCCATTGCTCATTGAATGCAAAAACAAGAAATGTAGAAGACTGGATTGACAGATTATAAGAAATAAGGGTGTTTTTTTTTTAAATGTACTAGAAAGGAGAAAAAAATTGGTAAAAATCAGCCTGTGGTTTGGTCTCATCATGTTTGTTGCAGTTATGGTGAGTTAGCATGGCCTCCTGCTGACTCAAACTACTACAATCCCAAACTCCGATGATGAATTATCTTCTACTTGACTTCTGTAGATACCCCTTTCCCACCAGAGTAACCCCTGGGAGAACAGTTCATGCACACAGGCAAAACAAGCAATTCTCTAGCACTATGAGAGAAACAAAAGCTTGCAGAACTTTACAGTGTCAATTATCAAGCTAGCCACTGTGAGAAAATGGATGGCAGGCATTTGTGGATGGAGCTCAAAATGAAAGTTTTAACCCAATGAAAGATATTTCTCAAATTGTAAACTTAAGGAACAGTTTTGTATGGACTTTTTAACTCAAACAATAATTCAAGATCTAGCTACTATCAAGGTAATTTTTATAAGTCCAGACGAACTTTTCTGTTTGGGGTGGACCACCTTTATGGCCTCATTGTCCTTACCACGTGCCACAGCTGAAAAGAAGCAATGAAGGTGGGTCCTCAAGCCTGTATAGAATGGTTGCAGTGCAGCAGCCACTCAAAGCATAGCAAGCTCAATTAAAAGGTGCAGCAGGACGTGAGCAGATAATCTTCTGGTCCCAACCAGAAACATAAGACAGATTCTCTAGGCAAGAAAGCCTGAAGGAGATTCTAAGGAAGCAGGGAACAAGACAAGCAGTACAGTAACATAAGGTACAGGTTGAACTTCTCTGGTCCAGCACTTTTAGGACCTGACCGATCCTGGACAAGGGAGTTTGCTAGACCAAGGGAAGTTGGGGGAAGGGGGAGGGAGGAAGGGAGAACGGAACCTCTCTGTTCTGCACCTTGAAAGAAACCATTAAAATGGAATTTACTTTTTTTCCCCGCTTTAACTAGCCTTACCTTTGCTTCATGATATGTATTAGCTTCAAGCAAATCATCTCGTTTTGCTTCCTTAGCAAGCAGTTTGTAACGACTTAACATTGCAGCCTTGCAAAGACGGCTTGCCATTGAAGTGCCACTTTTGAATGGCGAGCTAGAGTCAAGGGGGGAAAAAAGCAATGAGGCAAATTAAGAAATAAGTTATTCAATTCAGATTCTATTTGCTTCAACTACCACATTTGAAACTTCATTTGCTTCAAACTACATGTGTTCGATCTTCATTTAAAGCAGAAATGAACAAAGATAATGGAATTAAGTAGCATATTTACAACTCTATAATTACAACTACTGGAAAGTTGGTCAAATCTTTCAATCTTGTAATTTATTACATCAGAGATATTGCTAGTGTTAGTTACGAACTATTCAGTGTACTAATTTTTTTCAAGGTTGTACTGATGATGGGAGATAAAGGGAGAAAAAAAGTTTTACTTTCAATAAAGGACTAGTTAATTTCACATTGTGGTACTTCACTGACAAAATGTTGCTTCTTTAACTATGTCTAATTGTAGGAAGGGTGCAGTTAGCCTAGATTAATAGATTCTGAAGCAAGAAGGGATCACTATGATCTTCTAATCTAGTCTTAATTCAGCATTGTGCAGTGGTCTCCAACCTTTTTAACCATGAGATCACTTTTTCAGTGTAAGTGCAATGTAAGATCCACCTCAAACCCAAATACCTTTCCCTGTTTCCTTCCTGCCCCTTCTTTGAGGCCCTGCCCCTGCTTCACCCCTTCTCCGAGGCCTCACACTGCTCACTCCCTCTCCCTTTCTCACTCACTTTCACCAGGCTGGCGCAGGGTGCTGGGATGCAGGCTCTGGTCTTGGGCCAAGGAGTTTGGAGTGTGTGTGTGTGTGGGGGGGG